AACATTACTAACGATTACCTTTTGGCTATTTTTTCTTATAAATTTTATATACCGTTGGATGAAAGTTACATTTGTATTTATGCATTCTACAATATTTATTTCGATTTAAATTATAAAGGGAATTTTAAAAAACAATATACATTATTTCATTGCACTTCTCCACTTTTCGTTTCATGGAGTTAATCAATTTATGCAGTGAAGGGCTCATATACGAAAGGAGTAAATACACAACTTATACATTTTACAGTACTGTAACACTTTTACTATTAATTATTAAATCGCTTGTATTATCTTTATTATCGTTATATAAAAATTGTAAAAATAAATTTGTTTTGTCATTATTAATTTCGGTTTCTTGAGGATCCTTTTATTATCTTTATTATCATTATGTAAAAATTGTTAAAATAAATGTGTTCATTATCAATTTTGGATTCTATTCTTTATATTTAGATACCATTTATTATTGAAGGAACGTGCAAGCTCAGTAAATTAAAAATATCTTACAAGACTAATTAAAATGGACCAAAAATTGGATATTTTTAATTTATTTGTATTTATTTATTTTTATAACCCCTATGAATGGTATCACATCTCCGGGTACAGTTTCGATCGATAGTCAGTGGACAATCAAACGGAGCGAACGATACGCGATTATCGCGCCATCTCTATTAATGGTTCTCATCGAGAACGCGTCGCAGTTACGGGAGCAGAGCAGTATGTAATCGCCAAAAAATTAAATTCTTTTATTATCTTAAAAAATTCTTTGTTCTTTACTGCGTTCAGTGCAGAAAACCCGAAGTCGAAATTCGAAAAACTCGCGTCATTACAGCGGGATTGACTGCACTCAAGCAAACATTTTTGTCAACCAATTCAATTTTGTCAACTCAATTTTCGCCGCCAAATTGTTATGCCGCCATAGTGGGCGGCATAACAAAAGAACCGAGGTTTCAACTACTGTGAAATTTTTTGAGCATGTGTCCAAGACAAGTAGCTTTAGTACTAACCACTGACTGGAAACGTAAAGATTCGGAAAATTTTTCAAAAAAATTGTTTCTTAGGAACAATTAGTCTTTTTCCATCATCTTCAACTTCCTGATTTTTCTTTCAACTTCTTCGAAGCTCTAAATTTGATAACTGTGGTCAGTGCGATAGCCACATTATTTTCCTACACTCGCCACATTTTTTCAGCCTTTGCAGATTTTTTCTCCGCGCTGTATCCCGTCCATCAACAAGATCCGCTCCATTTTGCGGATGGTTAATTCAAGATTTTTTCCGGACATTTCTGTTGTGATATTTTTTATCTCAATTTTTTGATAAGTAGCTTAAAGTTAAAGGTAAAGTCTGTGAAAATTTGCACGGCTACCTTCTTCCAAAAATTTTCTATGAATTTTTAAAGACGGGTTACGATAGAGGTTATGTCATACTGGTCCGCCATCTTAAACAAAATGTCGACGCGTATCCGTAGAGAAGCCTAGTGTTAAATCAGGTATTGTGTCACATCTAGAAATATCCATAATTTCGCGCTATTTGTAGGTCTATTAGAAAAAGAGGTACATTTTCAGTACATTTACTTCTTAAAAAAAGGAGAAACAAATAATTCTTTATTTGCAAGTACACGCAAGGATGCAAGCAAGAAGCGAAGTCACCCAAAATGTCTTGTCACCTTTGACACGCGTGTCACAGGTCAGCCATCACTGGACTACACACGTTCTTCTCGTATTTTTACGTATACAGTATGTAGCTTCGCATTTGTCAAAGAAGGTTAGTTAAAGGGTTAATGTTTCTCATTGATCGAGACGACCAAAAGGAGGAGGGGCACTCTATAATGCGCTCATCAGTTCCGAGCAGGTGGTTCAATTCACGTAGATAGATTATTATAGAAATTGTCATACTGGTCTGTCCCCTTGAAGGGCAAAACACCTATGTACGTTAAATAAACTTCAGACTCGGCTAACTTTCTGTTTGTATCCCTTACTCATCCTTATCTATTGCTCACTTAAACCCCGACCTTCCCCACATCATCCACTTTGATCAATAGACAACCCCGCTTATTTCTTAATTCCGATATGAATATTGCCCCTTATCCCAAAATCAGAGATTAATACAGTCTGTAACAGAAATAAACTACTTACTGGGAATGTAACAGGACTTTTCTACCTTTTACCTCGCAACTCTGCGTGGTACCTAAGTTCACAGTTACCGTTGCGATTGTTTTAATCCACTTCGATTTCACTCCACTCACAATCCATCGAACACAGGGGTGATTCACTGCTTTCAGAACTTATCGGGCATTCGTTATCGGCCATTCGATAACTTCGGGAAAAAGCGTCACGTTGGCCAGGATTTTTCCCAGTCGAATAAATAAACGAGCCGCGGGGCTAAATATTGAAAATTCACGGACAGCAGAGCCTCGCTGTCTCTCACTGCGTGAGCTTTGAGGAAACATTCCCCATTGCCAGCCCCCGTCAAGGATCAGGGGATCGCTGGTCAAGGGAACCGTTTCACAAAGGTTCGCTGGAAAACCGCGACATGCGGGAATTACGCACAGCCAACGCACATGCACACACGTGGCTAGCGAGAGAGGACTTTTCTATGGTCAACGGCACGGAACTTTACGCGATCGTTCCAACACGCTGAATCGCGTCAAACTTTTCGACCAAGCCGGCTTCGCGAATATTGGCTAAAGAAAATGGCCATTTCAACTTTCCGCGCATTTGGTGCCATTTTTTGGCCCCATTACCGGACCATTTTTTGGCACCCGGAGGTGCCATTTTTTGTCGCGCTCACGGGGGACATTTTTTCCGTCTACCATGTACAGGATTGATCTTTGGTACGTTTAATTCCACCAGGGACCATTTTTACGTTTTCCTGATTGTCGAATTTCAAGATTCGTGGGAGCCCGAACGTTCGCTCGTTCGTAATAGGATTTGGGGTCGATGGCAACGCGGATAGTCGTCGAACGATGACGTTAATGATAATGTAATTACCTTCAACGGCGGTCTCGTCGGATCCTTCCTGAGCTCCGTGTAACGAGCCTCAAAGCTGTCGTCCCAGTATTCCCTGCTGCGCATCCACGATGGCTGCAACGGAAATAAAGGCAGAATGCGTTATACATAGAAAATCAAGTCGTTCGAGTAATAATAATTGAAAAATCAAGTCGTTTCTTTACGTGTTTTCTTCGCTGACGACGAAACCCAGAAAGAAAATCGGCTGAACGTGCTATTTTTATATCACAGCCACGAGTCTTTAGGCGGGTTTTAATTAATAATTAATCACCGGCCGTATCGCCAAGGATAACCGAGAACGAGAAAGTTCCATCGAACGGAACGACTTTTCAGCACGATACGGCCACTACCATCGGCGAAATGAGTCATAAAGTTTATTGCGACCAATAAGAAAGTGCGAACCATGGATATTAACGACGCCGAACGACCTGGCTAATAACAGAATGGCCACTTGCCTCGCTAATAATTCACCTCCGCGGGACCGTGTGCCACGACAATCACCAACGGCTAATTATTGCGTGGAAAAACGGTCTAATTATAAAGCATGATACCTTATGATCTTGCACATAATTATCTGATCATTCGGATAATGAAATGTACTTTGGTGTCGGAAAAAAGTGAATTTTGAAATTCTGCGAAGTATAATACGACGTTATGGGATTTGCATAATTATGGCACGGAAATGATTCCGCGTGTCGTCGTGTGAATTCTGAAATTCTGAAAAGCTTTCGTTTTTTTTCTGGAGGAATGTATAGTACGATGTTAAGCGATTTGCATAATTACAGTGCGTCGTCATTTCGAAATGAGATTGAAAAATAATTTTTGGGTACGCGAGGACATTTTGATGGATGAGAGGTGGTTTTGGTGGACGAGGACGAGAATTTCTTGGAATCGCGATGATCTTTTTCGTTCGCGATGTTGTTCGTCGTCTCGTGCTGTGTGTTCGTTCTATTAAGTGACTGCTTTATCGTCGTAATTGCCTCGACACGATACCCCAGTCGATAAGGAAAACGCGACCTGCCACGGGCGAAGAAGGCTTCACGCGAGTGCTCTTTCGAAATTCCACCGATGGCGGGTTTCAGTTTAGGCGGATTTAACTTCTTATCTTTTTCTTTGCATCATTAAGGCCATTTAAAAGGATAACTCGTATCGAGATAATTGAAGCCAATTCGAGTCCATTAATGAATTAGGATTAAATCAGTCGAGGGCTGTTCGAATCAGATTGAATCAATTAAGTGCTATTCGAATCAGATTAAGTCAATTATAGCTAATTCAAATTACCTAATTCAATTATTCAAGTGAGACGATACTAGTGGGCATTGATTCATATAAGGCCAGGTCATTTAATGTTAATTGAAGACAGGTCAAGTTGTCAAACGTCAAGTTATTTAATTCTGATTTATGTTAAGTGTGGTTAATTATATTCTCGTTATTTTATGTCAAGTCAGGATGAATATTATTGGATTAGTACGACTACTTTGAATTGGCCAATTCAAATTAGCCAATTCAATTATTCAAGTGAGACGATACCAGTGGACATTGATTCATATAAGGCCAGGTCATTTAATGTTAATTGAAGACAGGTCAAGTTGTCAAACGTCAAGTTATTTAATTCTGATTTATGTTAAGTGTGGTTAATTATATTCTCGTTATTTTATGTCAAGTCGGAACGACTAAGTAAGATTAATTGAAGTTACGCTAGAACTGCCAGGTTTGATTTATGTCAATTCGAATTCATTTAAATCGATTCCAATCAATTCAAGCCAGATCGAATCAATTCGAATAAATTCGTGTCAATTCGAGTCCATTTAAAATAAATAGAGTCAATTCCAGTCAATTCAATGCAATTCAATTCAACACAATTGCAATCAGTTCAAATCAAATTAATTCGAGTTAATTCAAGTCAATTCAAGTCAATTTCAACTCAATTCAAGTAAATTCGTATCAATTCGAGTCAATTAAACTCAACTCAATTCAATTCGATTCAGCAAAATTCAATCCAATTCAATTCAATTCGAATCAGTTCACGTCAAATCGAATTAATCCGAGTTAACTCAAGCTAATTCAAGTCAATTCAAGTCATTTTCAACTCAATTCAAATAAGTTCGTGTCAATTCGAGTCAATTAAACTCAACTCAATTCAATTAAGCAAAATTCAATCCAATTCAATTCAATTCGAATCAGCTCAAATAAAATCGAATTAATCCGAGTTAACTCAAGCTAATTCCAGTTCAAACTCAATTCGAGTCAATTAAAATAAAATCGAATCAATTCAATTCAATTCAATTGGAATCAGTTTAAATCAAATCGAATTAATCCGAGTTAACTCAAGCTAATTTAAGTCAATCAAACTCAATTCGAGTCAATTAAAATCAAACCGAGTCAATTCGAGTCAACTCAATTCGAATCAGTTTAAATAAAATCGAATTAATCCGAGTTAACTCAAGCTAATTCAAGTCAATCAAACTCAATTCGAGTCAATTAAAATCAAACCGAGTCAATTCGAGTCAACTCAATTCGAATCAGTGCAAATCAAATTGAATTAATCCGAGTTAACTCAAGCTAATTCAAGTCAATCAAACTCAATTCGAGTCCATTAAAATCAAACCGAGCCAATTCGAGTCAACTCGAGTCAGATCGTGTCAGTTCAAATTAATTCCAATTAATTCGAGTTAATTCAAGTCAATGCTTCGTAGTCCAAGCTACCAACTGGAGACTACCAACCGACGAACCGAGTCCAATAACAGTGGCTAATCGTTTGTCGCCGTAGAATCGTCGCGACCATAATTGATCGAGAAAACATCGGTTAAAGACCAGCCTGGGCCTCCAGCGGCTCAGCAGGCGTTAAGTGGATAAAAGCTGGCGAGAAACCGAAGCTCAGCGGCTTCGGAAAATATTGGCCAAGTGGCCACTGCCTAGAAGTTGACTTATCGGAGCACTCGAGGGCTTCGCCAGGTGTCGAACGGATAAAAGCTGCGGAGGAAAGCGAGGCTGATTGCCTCGAAAACCGTCGGCCAAGTGCTCATTGACTACTAAATTGATCTAGAGAAGAAGAAGAAGCGCAATGCCACGGACTCCTATTGGAATAAATTGGCCGAGTGGTTATCGAACCTCGAGCACCCCAGACCGGTCTAAAAAATCTTGGCCAAGTGGCTATCGAATCCCCAAAGTCTTGGCACCAGCTGGTTAATTGCAATAGGACCCTTCACAGAATTACTCTACAAGATGCCACTGAAACCTTCTCCAATTGGAATACGGACATATCTGGTAAATTTTTCAATATTATCGTTTTGATAGAATTTATTTTATAAATGACCTCGTTCAATTCTTCTTAATGTAATTTTTTATTCGCAATTCAAGTAGTCTTTGAATATCAATATTCATTTTTAATTCATTCTTGATTTACAAAATCAGTGCAAATTACAACGACGAAAATATTGGTTTTAGTATACGAAATCTGGTAAATTATAGGGTATACATATCTGGTAAATTTTTCAATATTCGTTTTAATAGAATTTATTTTAAAAATTACCTCGTTTAACTCATCTTAATGTAATTTCTTATTCGCAATTCAAGTAGTTTTCGAATAAGAATATTCATTTTTAATTAATTCTTGAAGTTTACAAAATCAGTGCAAATTACGACGACGAAAATATTATTGCAAAATTTTGAGATTAACGACTGTAAATGTTATACTATATATATTAAATTATTATTCATATCAAGTGCAAAAGTCTCGAGTGCAAAGAGTTAAATTATTAATGATTTAATTGAGGAATTTAATTACTAGCTATAAAATTTACTAGGTATTACTAGATATAAAAATCAAAATTATGTTACTGACGAACATAACTATTCGAAAAATTCTTTCTCTTAGTATGAATTTTCTTCGTTTCTTATTTCTATTCGATAATTTTAATTTACATTTATTATTTTTCACTGTAAATCAACAGGATTGCATTTAACTGAAATTACTACTTAATCGAAACTAATTGTAAGACCTAAACAAATGTCTGTAGGATTTATGCTGCAAGACCAAATAATTTACATTACATTATCATGTGAAATATGCATCGAACTAAATCTGGACTTGAATTACACGAGAAAATTTGCGATGTTGAACTGACAAGGGAACATATTCAACTCGGACAGGCCGATTTTCAAAAAGTTCACTATGAGTGTAGAATACGACCCGGTATGCTTCCCCTAGCACGGAATTACTGAAAACTGTGTTATAATTATTTATAGCGAAAGAAAAAGAAATTCCAAAAACAAGTATCCTTTATTTTAATCCATATATCACGTGTATTTATTTACATGAAAATGAATTAACATTTAGTATGATGAACGATAAAAAATGTCGAATTCTTATTATATTATTTAAACAAATTAATTTGTTACAATTATTTCTACGTAGTTACATTCGAAATATAAAATGCTATATTTTGCAAAAGGAAATTTAATTCTAACCCATTTGGTTCTCGAGATATTCTAAATAATAAAATATGCTTTTAACCCCATTTTTGGGGGCTGGTTTCACCCCTTCAACATAAAAGATTGTTGATACAATAAATAAGTATGAAATATTTTTCCGAGAACTATTTTCCACATAAATTTTATCAAAATCGGAGTGTTCCAGTTGCATATGTCCTCCACGAGTACGAATTGGGACCAAGGAGTTTTAAAAAACCGATATAGGAACTCTAACTTACAAAAATTACAGACTCTGGAATATAGTATAGTAAGAGAAATATAAACTTTTCAGCTGAGAAAATGTTGGCTGCAATTAAACTTGGATAAAAAGATACGTGTACCTTCAAACATTGAAATCTATGGAGCTTAGTTCCGCTTTAGCTCGCTAGGTGGTGCGACCGAGTTCGTGCCAGCGACGCCCATCTATACATTCACAGAACCACGTTCCTTTTTGATACTCCTCTCTGATATTGTCAAACGGTGTAACACGTGCAAAGCGTTATTCTTTCACGCAATGTATTACATTTTCATTTATCAACTGTAATTAAATTCACTGCTCTCATTCGTCAACATAACCTTAACAACTTTCATTCGTTCTACAT